GTTTTTTTTTTTTTTTTTTATGAAAACAATGTTATGCTCATGCAAGCGCCAGCCTTCCCAGAAGCTTATTTTTCCTATGGGACCTTTGAAACTCTTCATTTGTGTGTCTTCCTTATAGGATACTCAATTCCTTAAATTGTAGGTGTTTTTTATCTCTTCTATCTATTGCATTCTGTATTCCAGTTGGATGTCTTCATCCATCAAATTCCTGACATAATGACTCCTCTTTCCACCCCTTTACTGTTCATACAAAGGCTGGCACAGTTTTAAAGGCATCAATCATCTTGCTGAAATGGATCTAATTCTTTTCACTGAATCCAACCTCCTTCACCCCCTCACCTAACCTGCCACCTATGAAAATGAGACATTTAAACTGCTTAGTGAGGCACTGTGGGAAGTCTGAAAGATCAAATTTGTCATTGGTTCTGCTTAGCCAAGTAACTGCACCTCCTGTTGTGTCTGGGATCCATTCTCTCCCTCCCTCCCTTCCTCACTGTCACTATATTTCTTTTTTATCAATGCCCAGCTGTGTATTGTCCTAGCCTTATTCCAGGTAGGTTAATCTCTCTGTTCATTTGATCTTCAGGCTTTCCCAGCTAAAATTAGATAATAAAGTAGCAAAGATTTTTGAATAAAAAAATACATTATTCTGGGAAAAAATTTTTGAAAAAATTGGTGCTTTCTGTTGTGAAAATGAGATTTCTAAATCTCATATTGAGCCCTAGCTGGTTTGGCTCAATTGATAGAGTGTCGGCCTGCGGACTGAAGGGTCCTGAGTTCGATTCTGGTCAAGGGCACATGCCCGGGTTATGGCTCAGTCCCCCATAGGGGGCGTGCAGGAGGCAGCCAATCAATAATTCTCTCTCATCATTGATGTTTCTATCTCTCTCTCCCTCTCTGAAATCAATAAAAATATATTTTTTAAAATCTCATACTAATTCTGAAATACTTGATTGCCTTTATGTTATTTTCTGGCCAGAATATCTCACCACCACTTTTTTTTTTTTTAACACTAAACTCAGTTCCAAATAACTCTATACTAACATTTGACTCAATTGTCCTTTATTTGAAAATTGAAATGTTCTATATGCCACACACACACATATATATACATATGCATATGTATATATATGTGTATATGTCCACTGTGTATTTATATTATAAAGTAAATAGTTTATAAACCCATGGCACAAAGTCATTTTTGTTTTGTTTTTTTATGCTTTTTCTTCTACCACAGAGCTTTAAAAACTAAAAGAAGGAGAAAATACTAACTGTGAAACCCATACATTGAAATACTGAAATTCTCCTGCTAGACTTACCACTTCTCCACAATCTCATTTCATATTATATCTCCTCACACATGTGTCCCTCATTTGGTCCTACACACCCTGACTTCTTCAACAGAAATAATGTATAATGTTTTGTATAATTTAAGAATACTTATATAAAAAGCTTCTAAACTTTTTATTAACAAATTCTTAATATTTTCCTGAAAGGTGAAAAAGAAATGTGTTTATAAAAAAATTTTTTTCTCACATTTTTATTATATAATGTATAAAGGAAAATATGTAGATTTTAATCAATAATTACTCATATTTAAAATTCAGGTCTATTCTACAGCAGTTTATCTTGAGTTTGACTTTTCCCCGGCTTCTGGAGGCAGGTAAGTAAATGCTCAGATATCATATATAATAAAAGGCTAATATGCAAAT